CTCTCTCTCTGTGCCCCCCTCTCTGTGCCTCCCCCGTCTCTGTGCCCCCTTCTCTCTCTCTCTCCCCCTGTGCCCCCCCGTCTCTCTCTGTGCCCCCTCTGTGAGTCTCTGTGTCTTTCTGCCTCTCTTTCACCTCTTGATTTCTTGCCTTTGGCCTTTCATTGATGGAATAAAAATGTTACATAAGTCAGCACAGTCATGAGCTTTGTTTTCTGAGATCTGCTTCTGGCTCCTTGGCTGGTTTCTGAGAAGCCAGTTGGCTCTGTTTGTTGTTCCACCTCCTCTTTTCCGGAACTCCAAAGCCAGGGAATTTTGGGTGACCCTGACTGCTGACCTGGAGAGGTCAAGAAGCAATTATCAGTTGAGCGGCAGCCTCTCAAAATTTCTTCCCAACATTCGGGTCACCCACTTGGATGTTGAACTGAAATACAACAAATGAAAGTTTGCTACAGCCTTGCAAACTAATCCAGAACGCTGCTGGCTGTCTCAGCAAATTCCATTCTCCAGTCACTGCTGCACTCTCTGACTGACAGCGACAGTTAGTTCAGCAACAACATGAATTTAAAACTCTCCTCCTCATTTTCTGATACTTCCCTGGTCTTACCCCTCCCTCTCTCTGTAATCTCCTCCAGCCCAGTCTCTCACTCTAACTCTGCTATTTTACATATCGACGATTCTAATTGTTCTGTTGCCTGGGTTCTCAACTCTGAATTGTCTCCCTAAATTTCTCTATCTTTTGCTCCTCCTGTTAAAATCTTCTTTGACCAAATCCTCGGTACCTGCTCCAATACCCTCATATGGGTCACTGTCAAATTCTGTTTTATGCACACTCCTGTCCAGTGCCTCAGGATGTCTTACACATGGTTAAAGATGCCATGTCATCCAAATTATTGTTGGTAGTCCACTTCCACCCATCGCCCTAGATTTAAAAAATGTGCTATCTGCTTAGGTGATGATCTCAGGGACCACATCTAAGGAAAACTATTGGCTATTTGCCTGGGAACATAGGAACTGGAGTAGGCCATCCAGCCCACTGAGTCTGCAGCACCTTCCTAGCCCATGGCTGATCGATGTTTGTTTCCTCCATTAAGCCCATATCTGTCAAAATGTGGAGATGCCGGTGTTGGGCTGGGATGGACAAGGTCAGAAGTCTCGCGACATCAGGTTGTAGTCCAACAGGTTTATTTGAAATCCCAAGCTTTCGGAGCGCTGCTCCTTCATCAGGTGAAGCCACCAGGGAAGCTTGTGATTTCAAATAAATCGGTTGCACCATAACCTGATGTCGTGTGACTTCTGACATCTCTCCCAAGCCATTGGTCTCCAGAAATTTATCAATTTCTCTCCTGAGCTGGCTCTGGGTTAGAAGATTTGAAAGGTGTTCCTGCCTCTGAGGCAAGAAATTCCTCTTTGCGGTCTTAAAGGACCTACCCCTCATTCTGAGGTTATGGCCCTGCTTCCCAATGAACAGTTTGAAATTCCTGTGGATGCCTTGATGGATATAAGATGAAAAACTTTGGCAACAGGCCTGTCTTTGCAGCAATTTGATAGAGTTGGGGGAAAATGATCAAAGGAGCGTTTTTGACTCCCCTCTAGGGCGAACGGACGAGTAGGGTCAGTTAGAGTGTAATTACTTTCCTGTAGATATTGTAAATGTTTGGTCCTTCTGAGGCTTAGGAAATAAAGCAACTTTGAAGGGGTTGGCTTCCTGACTTTCTATCAAAAGATTCCAAATGGTAGGCAGGCACACGTGTAAAGATTTTCATTTGTATATTTGCCGATATTTCATGGCCGTGCTTTTTTGCTGCTTGTCCATTCTGTCTGTTTCTGGTAACCTGTCTTTTATTCTCACTTTTTAATACTTATGTAGGTGGTGGTGGGTGGCGGGGAGGGGGGATGTTGGTTTCTGCATCCAACAGGTTGTCTTCATTCCTTGTCCTCTAGAGAATTGCAAACCTGTTCCTACGGTTACAAATGCATGACGATCTACCGGGATACCAAGGTGTGGAGCTGGATGAACACAGCAGACCAAGCAGCATCAGAGGAGCAGGAAGGCTGACGTTTCGAGTCTGGACCCTTCTTCAGAAAAATGGCACCTCCACATTTTGAGAGATATGGGCTTAATGGAGGAAACAAACATTGATCAACCATGGGCTAGGAAGGTGCTGCAAACTTGATGGGCTGGATGGCCTACTCCAGTACCTATGTTCACAGTCAATTTTCTGAAGAAGGGTCCAGACCCGAAACGTCAGCTTTCCTGCTCCTCTGATGCTGCTTGGCCTGCTGTGTTCATCCAGCTCTACACCTTGGTATCTCAGATTCTCCAGCATCGGCAGTTCCTACTATCTCTGACGATCTACCAGGCTGTGCTTAAATTTTAAGCCTTTTGAAATGGAATCTGCATGGGAAAATCTTTCATTTACGCAGCAATGAAACTGTTTTTGAAGGCCACCTTCGTAACATGGAAATTAAGGCAATCCACTTGTGCACAGCACGCTCCCGAAAATGTGATAATGACCTGTGTTTGAAAGAGATTGTTTGGTCTCCTTACTTGCGAAAGGATGTACTGGGACTGGAGAGGGTACACAGGAGGTTCACTAGGTTGATTCCAGAGTTGAGAGGGTTTGTTATGAGGAGAGATTGAGTAGACTGGGACTGTAGTCGTTGGAATTTAGAAGAATGAGGGGGTAGGTCTTATAGAAACATATAAAATTATGAAGGGAATAGGTAGGATAGAAGCGGGGAGGGTGTTTCCATTGGCAGGTGAAACTAGAAAAAGGGGGCATTGCCTCAAAATAATGGGGAGCAGGTTTAGGACCGAGCTGAGGAGGAACTTCTTCACCCAAAGGGTTGTGAACCTGTGAAATTTCCTACCCAGGGAAGCAGTTGAGGCTACCTTGCTGAATGTTTTTAAAATAGATTTTTGAACAGTAAAGGAACTAAGGGTAATGGTCAGCAGGCGGGTAATTGGAGCTGAGTCCACAAAGAGATCAACCATGGGTTATTGAATGGCAGAGCAGGCTCGAAGGCACCAAATGGCCTGCTCCTGCTCCTATTTCTTACATTCTTATTAATGTTTGGCTAGGTCAGAGGAACAATCACAATTGCTTTTATTTTATACAAAAGCATTTTGCTTTTAAATTGGTTTTGAGCTCCCATTGAATCTTGTAAGCGACTAACATGTCATCTAAGATGTTCTTAGTATATTAGTTGGGCCTAATAAAATGCAGGTCGGGACACTAATTGAGGCTTCATCTGAGCAGATCGAGAGACTCTTCTGTCAACAGATCCAGTTGGTGGGCTGCAGAGGGGGTTGTTATAAACATCAGCCTGCCCCTCTAGCAAGGTTACGTAACCATGGTTACATCCACAGCTCGGTGTTGTTGGACTGGAAACATATGGTGCCCACTGGTAGGTTTGAGGGGTCCTTGTGCCGGGGGTGGGGGGGTGTTTGGGTGGAAGAGAAGAGAGAGACTGGACTACGTTATCTTGCCATAGTGCCATTTCACTTTAATCATTTTTATTTATGTTTCATTCGAACCTTTTGTTTGTGCAGTGGTGCCCCTTTTAAGGGAGTTATCTTTATGATTGGTTGAATTTAAATTTGGTTCTCAAAAGAGTTAATTGAAATTCTTGACTGGTAGTGTCCTCACCTCTGAGCGAGGAGACATGGGTCCAAGTCCCACCTGCTCTAGACGGAGTGTCTTAATGGGTTGACGAGAAAATCTCTATAAATAGATCCTTCTCGAAGCTCGGTTGTGGTCGAGTTAGAAGCTGCATTCTTGAAATGTTCCATTTTGTGAAATAAATGAGAGGCTGAATAAAGATGGCTGCCATGTTACCCTTCAGGTTCCAGTCAGGAATGGGATACAATATGGCACTTCAGTTTAGCATCTCCGCCCACACAATGGTATCCCTGACAGTGCAGCACTGTCCCTGTACTGCACTGGGTGTGTCAGTGTCAGTTATTTTTTCTGACTCTGGGCTGAGTATTGCTGTCAGGGTTGGTGTGATCCAGACCAGAGGAGGTTTGAAAAGCTGCAGAACGCCTCAGTTTAATTCTCTGTTTTCTTTCCCTTTTTGACAGAAACATCTTCCCCTCGAACCTTGTCTCAGCAGCTTTTGAATCGGTAAGTTAATTTTCCACTCCTTGTGGGGAAATCGTGAGGATTAATTGGTGACGGTTTATTTGAAATGTCTTTAGTATGGTAATGGATAAATGTAATTTTGAAATAACCACTGAAGAGGAAGGAGCACTTTCACTGATAGTCATGATACTGGACTAGAGACTGTTTGTTTGAGAGTTTAATTCTATATTATGTTATATTATATTATTCTAAAGTAAAATATTGTACTTTTTTAAAAAACACATCTATCTAATAATGATCCTGGACTGTCATCCTTACTCAGTCGGGTTCCCAATGACTTCAGTCCAGCATCAATGTGATTGGTTTCTAATTTCCTTATGAAGGGGTTGTTCATTTATTTTGATTTATCAAACCTGCTCCTGGCAATTCGGAACGCTTTTGACTCGCCAACCAGGGATGGGGCCATTATTGCTGCCCTTTCCAGTGTAGCCACCACCTAGGAAAGGGAAAGAAAATCATACCATTCAGGCAAAAAGAGATGGGCTTCAGACTTGCACTGTAATCTCATCCCCATGAATATCATCCACAGTCATATTGAATGGCAGTTGACATCTGATGGGCTGAATGGCCTACTTCTGCTCCTGTATCTTAAGATCTTAGACCTAGAATGTACGAAACTGGAAGAGTGGACTCTCGAACCTGATCTGCCTTTCAATACTCGACTCTGCTTTCCTGCCCATTTCCCCCGAGAGACCAAATCATAAAATCATATCATAGAATTCCTACAGTGTGGAAACAGGCCCTTCAGCCCAACAAGTCCACACTGACCCTCAGAGCATCCCAACCAGACCAATCCCCCTATAACCCACCTAATCTACACACCCCTGAACACTACGGGCAATTTAGCATGGCTAATCCACCCTAACCTGCACATCTTTGGACTGTGGGAGGAAACTGGAGCACCCAGAGGAAACCCACGCAGACACAGGGAGAGTGTGCAAATTCCACATAGACAGTCGCCTGAGGGTGGAATTGAACCTGGGTCCCTGGCGCTGTGAGGCAGCAGTGCTAACCACTGAGTCACCGTGCCACCCCAGTATCAGCCTGCCCCAGCTCTAAATATAATCAACAATGGAGCATCCACACCCTCTCGGATACAGAACCACAAAGATTCACACGCCTTTGAGTTTAGCGGTTTTGTTTCCTCCTCTTCTCAGTCAGAAGTGTTTGGCACCTTTTTCTGAGGCAGTGCCCACATTCCACATCCCCACCCACCCCCATGTTCTATACTCTGCTCCACATCCAACCTATCAAATTTTACAAATGTGAGGATGGCATTGGGAGAGAGCTGGAGTGCACGAAGGATAGTTGTCCTTTGGGAGTTGGGCTCCTGTGGAGATTGTAGCGCAAGACAGAGAGAGAGATGGACCCAGTGAGAGAGAAAGTTGGATTTGGGTGGAGATTGGAGGAAGGGGTAGAGGGTGGGAAGAGAGGTAGAAGGAGAGGTAACGATGGATTTGGGTGGATGTTTGACCATAGAGGGAGAGAGAGATTTGGGTGGAAGTTGGGACATAGAGAGAGACAAATGGATTTGGGAGGGATTTGGGATATAGAGAGAGCGATGGATTTGGGTGGAATTTGGGGCATAGAGAGAGAGAGATGGATTTGGGTGGAATTTGGGGCA